ACTTATGTGATAAATCCACAACACCAAATATTATTTCTCGGTATGCGATGAGATATGCAGTAACAAAGCTTGGAAATGTGCTGAAAGTCAATGTTGTTTGTAGCTATTTATCTTTTTCGGACGCTAACGCCAAAACTCCAAAAGACACTGATTGGCTGAAATGAAAATTCGCCTGTGATTTCATTGGTTGAATCTTCATAAACTTCCATTGTCGCTACACAAATCACGTGACACAGGTCTGTTCTGACTGGGGGGTGGGGTTTCCTTCCCCCCACTCTGCACACATACAGACAGATTGTAGAGACTGCTGCACTTGGACAGACAGTTTATTATAAAGAGGGAGATAACTAGATATTTTGCTTGGGCATTTGCCCAGTTGCACTAACTGCGCAGCATCTTGTGCGCAGAGAATGTGCGAGCAGTGTGCAATTGCACAGGCGTGCAGCTTAGAGGGAACATTGCTCAGAAATATCATTTGTTCCTGCCACGATACCCTTCCACAAACATGTTGTAAAGAGCAGACTTTGAAAGATCCATGTCCTTTAAATTAAACATGGTGCCCACTGAGTCCAATTTCACCTTCAACTGCTAATCCTAAAGGTTCACATACTTTTACTACTCACAAATGTGTAACATTGTATCATTTCCCTCAATAAATAAATGATCATGTATAATATTTTTGTCTCATTTGTTTAACTGGGTTGTCTTTATCTACATTTACGACTTGTTTAAAAATCTGATGATGTTTTAGGTCATGTTTATGTAGAAATATAGAAAATTATAGAGTTCACAAACTTTCAAGCACCACTGTATTTTGCTGCTTTACAACAATTGACTTTCAGTTTGATTAAAAGGAACAAACTGAAGTAAAAAAACAACAACATAATATTAAAGTGAATTGTGTGGTGGGTTTCAAGATTGAATTAAAGTAAAAATAAGCAGACGTGAATCAGCTTCAGTTCTCCGTTTAATTTCACGTTTGTTTTTCTTCCTCACTCTCTGCATACATTAAACATTTTTATAGCCCCCTCTGGTGCCCTTTCTATGCAATAACCATTCACTTCAGGTTCATCACCACAACACAACATTTTCCCTTTCTTCTAATCAATTACTTATATATATATATATATATATATATATAATATTTTCTTGTGCTGTACTTTAGCAAAACAGTAGTACATATTTACTTGTCTTAAAGAACAGTTGTAACAGTCTGAACAGCAGTCATTTAAATTTTGTTTTCACTTTATCTTACAAAACCTGTAAACCATTTCAATTCAAATTCAAAAATACTTTATTAATCCCAAAGGGAAATTATTTGTTGTTGTAACTCGTTATCCTCATTTCATTAAGAAATGTTATAGATGCTGATGGATGTAGGCAGTAAGGGTCTCTTGTAAAGGTCCATCCCACAGTGGATCCTAAGAAACTGGCTGCAGATGCCGTCCGATCCGTCCACCCAGTCTCTGCTGGCCTCTCGGTTACCCCGGACTGTAGGATCGCCCGAATACTGGGCAGAACTCCTCCCAGTGCGATGGCCACTCCTCCCAGCAGTCTGCAGAGCTCCTCGTCACTGCGGACAAACAACTGTAGGTGCTGAGGGACGATCCTGTCCTGTCATGACCCATGTTTCCTGCCAGTTCCAGGATCTCAGTGGCCAGGCACTCCTGCACAGCTGGCAGGTAGATGAGAATGTGTCCACAGAATGTCCTTTTCAACTCATTTGAGATTTGGGGCTGTAGTTGTGATATTATTTGAGCTTTTGAGATGTTAATCAGCTGCTGTTGGTTGTAGAAAACTGCCTTGTTGCCATGGTTACTGTAAAAAAAAACTACCTTGTTGCCATGGTTACGCATCATAACAAATGTCTTAAACTAAAAAAAGTTTCTTGGTGCATTTCTAGATCTCTGACTTCTTCTAAGTGCAGCAGATTCATTAGTGTTCCAGGAAGTGCAATGGTATCCAGCACAGTGTCATAATTTTGTTCTGAGGCAGTTAAGACTTGTTTTGGGAAGTGTGCAAGTTTTGAAGCATCCCACTTGTGTTCGTTGTTTAGTAAATATGTGTTTTGTCCAACTTTATTCATGACAGTCATTGGTTCTGTAAATCTTGAAGATCCTTTGGTAACATGCTCAGGTCTACAAACATGAACAGTGTCACCAACTTTGACTGTTGATCTAAAAAAGTTCAATCTGGTCCTCTGGACATTCAAAAAAACAAAAAACAAAACAAAAAAATGTAGAAACATTTCGTCTCTCATCCGAAAGACTTCCTCAGTCTGAGGAGCTGTATTCAGCTCAGTCTCTTAAATAGCACCTTCTCAGAGTGGATCAACCAGTTTGCTGCTGACAACCAAAACTAGCTGATCACATGGTCAAGAAGGACCATCAGCCTAACAATGGATCATTAGCACACTGATGGCTGTTTACTATTCACAGAGGGCTGAGTGATACTAGCAATCACAGCATTGTAAGAGGGGGACAGTTGAACCCAGAGGCCTCCACCCCTGTTTAACGATGGATGATTTCTTTTCACAAAGATGGCCTCCTTTACTCCTCTCTCAAACCATCGTTCCTCTCTGTCCAGGATGTGAACATCTTCATCCCTGAAAGAGTGACCGCTGGCCTGGAGATGAGTGTAGACCGCAGAGTCCTGGCCTGATGATGTTGATCTTCTGTGCTGGGCCATCCTTTTGGCCAGTGGCTGTTTAGTTTCCCCGATGTAAGACTGATCACAGCCCTCCTGACACTGAACAGCATACACAACATTGCTCTGTTTGTGCCGGGGGACTGGATCTTTGGGATGAACCAGTCTTTGCCGTAATGTATTTTGGGGTTTAAAAGCGACTGGGACGTTATGTTTAAAAAATAAATGTCTCAGTTTTTCTGATACTCCCTCAACATATGGAATGACCACTGGTCTGGGTCTGGGTTCCTCCTTTTCACCTGATGGCTGACTGGAGTCCTGTTTGGGTTTCTTCTCTGCTTTCAGGAAGGCCCAGTTAGGATATCCACATTGCTCTAAAGCCTGTCTTGTGTAGGATTTCTCCTTCTGCCTGGCTCCTGAGTTTAGTGGGGATGCTGTCTGCTCTGTGATACAGAGTCCTGATGACTCCTAACTTGTGCTCCAAAGGGTGATGGGAGTCAAACTGCAAATACTGGTCTGTGTGGGTGGGTTTGCGGTACACCTCGGTTTGCAAATGTCCTCTATCAGAGACTGAGACCTCGCAGTCCAAGAAAGCCAACCTGCCATTTTTTACATCTTCTCGTGTGAACTTGATGTATTTATCCACAGAGTTGATGTGGTCAGTAAAATGTTGGACTTCCTGAGATTTAATTTTAACCCAGGTGTCGTCAACATACCTGAACCAATGACTTGGTGGTGTCCCTGAAAAGGACGTCAAGGCTCTCTTTTCTACCTCCTCCATGTACAGGTTGGCAACAATAGGAGAAACTGGAGACCCCATAGCACACCCATGTTTCTGCCTATAGCACAAGTTAGGAGTCATCAGGACTCTGTACCACAGAGCAGACAGCATCCCCACTAACTCAGGAGCCAGGCAGAAAGAGAAATCCCACACAAGACGGGCTTTAGAGCAATGTGGATATCCTAACTGGGCCTTCCTGAAAGCAGAGAAGAAACCCAAACAGGACTCCAGTCAGCCAACAGGTGAAAAGGAGGAACCCAGACCCAGACCAGTGGCCATTCCATATGTTGAGGGAGTATCAGAGAAACTGACACATTTATTTTTTAAACATAATGTCCCAGTGGCTTTTAAACCCCAAAATACATTACGGCAAAGACTGGTTCATCCCAAAGATCCAGTCCCCCGGCACAAACAGAGTAATGTTGTGTATGCTGTTCAGTGTCAGGAGGGCTGTGATCAATCTTACATCGGGGAAACTAAACAGCCACTGGCCAAAAGGATGGACCAGCACAGAAGATCAACATCATCAGGCCAGGACTCTGCGGTCTACACTCATCTCCAGGCCAGCGGTCACTCTTTCAGGGATGAAGATGTTCACCTCCT